AGCTGGTGGTCTAGTGTTTACCATTACTAACTTGTAATTCAGGAAAATATTTAGCAAAAGGTTTTATATGTTCCTTTACTGTTAATCCTGATGCATGCCTCCAAAATTGATCACTTTTAGTTTTGCATGGCTTCAAATTACTCTCAGGATATTCCTGAGCAAGTGAAAATAAACATGTTAAAATACTGGCAATTTGTTTTGATGTTTTATTCACTAGAATTAGGGAAAAAAAAAAGGTGTTAAAAAGCATATGTAATTTCCTCAATTTTTAATGGAAGTGTACTTGAAGAAATTAACAGATTCTTAACAGATTACAATAGAGCAAGTTCTATAGTATTTATTTCAATTATTATAATTTGGATTTTTTAAAAAAAATTTTTGTTTACATATTATGGTAGCATCATGTAAACTTTATGGTTCATATATGAATTGATCAATGAGGGGTTTGAATTTTCCCAAAATTTGGAAATTTCCCTGACCAAATTAGTGTGTACCTTGCCAAACCTCTATCAATTGCCAAAATGCAAAACTCTAATAAACAATAGTGTATAACCTGCCAAAACTCTGCTGAAGAATTTTTGTAGTTGATGATTACATCCATATTAGGTAGCACAATGTAATTTTAATTTTTTATTTGATACAGTGCAGGTCATCTAAAAGACATCAAAAAAATCATCCAACTTCAAACAACAAAGGCTTTTTTTTTTATTAATAAAATTGAAAAAAACTCTATTTTTACAATCTTTAGAACCTAAGCAATGAAACAGAGAGCTTTTTTCAATTTCGTTAATAAAAAAAAGCCTTTGTGGTTTGAAGTTGGACGATTTTACTATCAAAAATGAAATTTAGCACAAGATAATCTTTCCTATTTTGGAAAGGATAACCGAGACCGTGGCCAGAACAAATTATAAAATTCAGTTCAGAAAACCATTGTTATATTAATATATATTAATATATATATATATATTTGTAAGTAATCAACAAACAATACGTTACTATTACTAACAATTTTACATTCTTCAAATTAAAAAAATGCCAAAACAAAGTAAACAAGCTGTACATTTAAGTAATGCTAGAAATGTTAAAAAAACAAAGTCAAATGATGAATTGAATAAAAATGCATCAAGTGAAGAAGAAATTGATTATAATGATTTCATTTATGAGATTGACGATTCTGGTGATGAATGGTTTAATGAAAGCATGTCCGAATTATTTGTTTTATTCATTTATTCGAGTAAAAATTTATTTGAATACTCAAATTCATAACGAATATGATAAATGATTGAGTCATGTGATGTTATAATCCCGTGACACAAAAGAGTAAGGTTTCTGGTCCAAACTGTTTTCTCAAAGCCCAAACTAAAACATATGACGTAATTTTTCAGAATCTAATCTTTAATATGTCACGATTTCAAGCGTGGTTATTATGTAAGTTTCCGAGAAACTGATTTTTTTTGGCAAACTACGATTTTTCAGAAGACTTTTGGTCGAACTTTTTTTTTTAACTGTTATTCTCCCAAACATTACAAAAATTTGAAATTTTGCATACATATTCTTGAGAACTTAATCACAATTTGATGAAATTTATTCGTGTTTTATTATGCATGTTTTTGCGTAATTAATTGTTTTGTGGTGACCGAAACTTTTGTCAGGGAGTGTATATCCATTAATTATAGATTCAAATTTATTTGACTTTCATGTATATATTCACCCATAAATTCTCTTTATTATGGATGTAAGAAAATTCAAATTTATTTTATTATATATATTCATCCATTAATTCTATTTATTATGTATGTAAGAAAATTCAAATTTATTTTATTATATATATATATATATATATATATATTCATCCATTAACCACAGATGTAAAAAAATTCAAAATTATTTTTTTCAATAATTCATATATTAATATGGACATAAGAAATTCAATTTTACTATTATTATGGATGTAAAATCAAAATTTATTTCATATATACAGTGTATTGCAAAAAAATCAAATTAATCATCATGGAACAACCACAGCATTAATTCATATAGAAAATATTTCCATTCAATAGGTTAAGGGCAAAACTTTTATTGAATATATTTTAATACAAAATACTTTCACTATTGATTTTAATTAGAGGCTGACATCTTGATTTTTTATCAAAGCAAATTAATTGGAAATAAATCAGGAGTTGGATTCCGCTTTTCTATGGTGAATCATCTCACATCTTTAAATTTTAACTTCTATCGCATTATTTATAATTGATTACCAAAAATTTTAAAGAAACCTAGTACATAATAATAATAATAATAGTAACTAACAATAACAATAATAAATCATGATGTGTCACGTGATTCAAAAGGTCTTCAAACAATTAACTCTCCTATAAGCCACGTAGCCTGTTTCATACAACTTATTAATATTGAAATGATTATTTGAGAATGGAGTGTTAGGAATCTGGTATATTTATTAGGTAAATGTATCTCATTTATTCTAATAACATAATTGCAAAAAAGCAAGTAAAATTTAACCATATTGTGAATTTTAAAAGCAAATTACTCAACAATTAATTGCCAGATTCAGTTAGAAAATGATTTAAAATGATTTAAAAAAGCAAAGCTTTGTTTGAAAATTTATTTGAGTCAAGTTAATGAATTTTTATAGTAATATTATAAAAAGTTTTTTGACAACAGTAATTTTCCAGTTTTTTTTTTGCAACACACTGTATATTCCTATCTATTACGGATATAAGAAATTTCCCCCAAAATCGGCGTTATGACGCAGTATGTTGTGGGACTAGGTGGCTTTTCACTGTAGTGCCTTTGGTGTTTCAATTAATAGATAGATAGATATACAGTAAAACGGATGAAGGCAAGTGAGTCGTTACTGACTTTTTCAGTACGCATTTGACGGTTGGTGATTTATTTTATTTTTTTCAAACCCTCCTTTAATTTTCTTTCGGTACGGTACCGACTTTCTTTCTACTCCCCCAGTAAAACTTCGTTATAACAAAAAATTACTAGTCGCGTTATAACGAATTTTATATTAATGTCAAAAATTCTATATTTATGACACGGATTTAACCACGCCTCAGCTTGTTATAAAGAGGTTCGACCGTAATTACAAAAAATATTAGTAGAATTTTCATAGCTAAATAAGAAAAGCGAGTTTGTAAAGCAAAAGCACAAATTTATTATTAGGTCTAAAAAATCACGAAATTTTGTACACGTATTACAAATTTCTTTTAGCTGAAGAGGTAAAATGAATTTTATTGTATTTAGTATTACAAGATTTATTTATACAATGATTGTCTTATTCGGTATTCTTATTCAGTTTTGATTTTTCTTTGTTGTGTAGCTCGGATCCAAAAAAATAGTATACGCTAATTAATGGCCAATAAAATTTCCCTCCTTCTCCTCTTCTCTTTAAAACTATGTGCGGGTGAATAGTTTAATCATAATTGCCAAATTAATAAACCAATGGTCAATAATCAATCAATCAATCAATCAATCAAAAATCATCATTTTACGTAATATAATAAACAACGACATCTTCATCGTATAATAAATAATAAAAAAAAACGCCAAATTTTTAATTTTATTTAAATTTAAAAAACAAAATGAATAAAATCGAATAATATAAGTTTAAATTCTGATTGTTCAAATTTTCATTATCCAAAAAAAAAATTTTTAAAGTTTACATAATTACGTCAATTTATCTTTTTAAAGGCTCGCGCCTTTGTCGTTTGTTAATTTTTTTGCGATGATGATTGTTTTTCTTTTTCAATCAGTCACAATTCCCTTTAATCACCCTTTTAAACAATCACCCCAACCTTATCACGAATGTTTTCGTTTAATATTAAATATCTAGACCCTTACAAATGGTAAATTACGTGTGACAAATATTTTCTTTTTACATAATGACTTATTTAGAAATTCGCTATGATTTATTTTAACATGGGCTAAATTTGTAAAATGCTGATTATTACTTCAATCATCTAATCAATCACTTATAATTGTTCCGTATAAACTTGAGGGGTGGGAACAGGCCCTGATTAATTTGGAGATAACAAACGGCGCAGTTTATATTTTCTTGTTTAATAACTCGTTTGTGAGTAGTATGCCCATGATTGAAAAATTACTTCTTTAAAAAGCTCAATAAATAATTTTTTGAATTTATTGCGGTAATTTTGCGTGTCAACATTATTTTTTAATATCAATCCTATTCATAAAATAAATCTTTTTTTTTATTATATATATGTATATATACGCTGTATATATTTTATTCAACCAATTACCATATAAATAAATATATAGATTTTCTCTTTTTTTTTTTTTTTTTAAAAAAAAAAGAATTTTAGATTAAAAAAAAATTAAATAACTATGTAACACACACCATTAATACACATTAGATGATCTTATTATTAATACAATTTTAAATTTTCTAAAAAAAAAAAAATCAAAGAAAATAAATAATAAATAAAATATAATAAAAAAAAATATGAATGAATAAAAAATATAAATAAATAAATAAAATAATGAAATTAATTAAATATAATATATACACTTGATTATTATTATTAAATATTATTAAATATTATTAAAATTAAAAAAAAATTAAATTAAATTAAATATAAAAAAACTAATTAAATCCCACAATTCACAAGTATTTTTTACCCTTTACCCTTTTTTTTTCTATGTTAAAAAAATTAGAACATGCTGATCGTTTATATGTATGTATGTATGTATATGTATATTATATAATATATATGATTATAATGATTATTATATATAATATTTTTTATTTTTTTTAAAAAAAAAAAAAAATGAAAAAAAATCTTAATTATTATTGTTATTATTGTTATTGTTGCTGCTGCTGCTGTTGTTATTGTTATTGCTATTATTGTCGTTTGATTCTGAGATTGTTGGTACCATGTATTGTTGATGTGGGTGTTGTGAATGGAAAGGTGTAGGTCCATTTGGATTAATCATTATTAAATCATTTCTAATTGGACCGCCTGGTACTGGTGGGAATGGGAATGGTTGATATTGCCCATATGGTCCAGGGAATGGATTCCCGTTGAAATCTGATGACATTACTGGAGCACCATTTGTTGGTGGTCCATGAGGAAATGCTAAGTGGCGATCACCTGGGAATCCATGATTTATTGACATTGGACTATAACGTTCATGATTATCAGCATAATGACCCGGGCTACGACCACGCACTACCAAAGAGGCAGAAGTCGATGTAGCAACACGAAATTGTTCACCATTTTCTACCTGTGCATATAAATCTACCATGACAACATAATATTGTTGTGCGGCGCGACGTTTGCCATTGTTTGCGGTGGCTGTCTTGAATTGGATACGTTCAAATGTGACAATATTTGAATTTGAACCAACAGAACTCAAGTTTAAGTTGCCACCTGGACGAATTGGTTTTGGTACTGGGACCATTTGTGGACCTTTATCACGTTTTGGTGTGTGTTGAACCAATTCAATTTTTTTGTCACTGTTGGAAACCCTCGCACTAATACCTAACAGGAATTGAGTTATGGTGTGGAATTGCCCTTCAACCTCAATTAAACTGACTATATCAGCTTCGTTAACTGCATGGTTTGTGCCTGTGATAGAAAACGCACTACTGATTTGAAAATAGTTTCTACGATAACATGTCCAGTCATTATCAGCCAAAAAAAAACCACGGTCAACCTTTGAATTAATTCGAAGTTTATAACTGTTTTTTTTTTTTTTTTTTTTTAAAAAAAAATAAAAAATAAAAATAAAAATATTAATTATTAATTTATTAATTACATATTAAAATTCATGTGTGTGTGTGTGTGTGTGTGTGTGTGTATATAAAATTATATATAATTACTTATTTGTTCTATCGACACTATATAAGTTGTAGTGTTGTGTAGTTGGAGAGAAAAATGGCCCGGCATCCACAGGAAAATTTAAAGTGTCAGTACGACGTTTTCTTTGTGCGCCAGACTGAAAGGGTGCAGCATGAAAAGAGGAGGTTGTGAAAGGTGGCGGTTGTGATGGAGGTTGTTGTTGTTGTTGTTGTTGTTGGCGACTATCCATCATTTTACGATCAACAGTTGGTGAATTTGCCCCGCTATTTGATGATGTAACAGTGCTTGGTGAACCGTTTTGTCTAGGTGTCGAAGGAGTTGGTGGTGCCGGAATTGGCATAAAACTGTTTTTTAAAATTAATTATTTAAATGAAATTAAATTAAAATTTTCGATTCTACAAATTATTTGTGTATAAATATACATATTATTTTTTTTTGTGAAATGTAAAATGTAAATAATAATTTAAACTACATTAACTAAATATATATATATATGCATGTTTATATGCGTGTTTTTTATATGCTGTGCTTCGTTTTTATGTGTTACATTACACACGCAATAAGTAACGTTTACTTGCATAAATAATAAAATAAATAAATAAATAATAATAATGTACAACAAAAATAATGGATCGCGTGTGCTAGAGAAGAAATAAAAAAAGCAAAAAAAGCAACTATGATTTTTTAATTAAATTAATTAATTAATTAATTAATTAATTTAATTAACTAATTAAATTCTATATTTATTTATATACATATTACTATATATAAAAAAAATAAAAAATTGAAAGGGAAAAAAACAACTTACATTTGTGGATGCATTTGATTTTGTGGAGATTGTCCATCGTATTGAAATGATTGAATAAAATTTTCAGGCATTCCATTAATAGGTGGGGACATTGTTGGATGCTGATGATGCGGTGAATGTGGAATTTGTTGTTGCTGTTGTTGTTGCTGCTGCTGTTGTTGCTGTTGCTGTTGTTGTAATGACCACTTATTATCTTCTGCGATATTCATTTTTCAAAGAATAATAAAATTTCGAAAATTTTGAAATTTAAAAGTCCTTTTTCTTTTTACTATTTGTTATTTAATATGTATATAGTAATGCGAATAGTAATAATAATAATGATATCAATTAGCAATGTCTTTCTTTCTTTTTTCTTTAGAGTTGAAAGATTCACACAAAGTTGTTGTGTATGTGTTTAAATGTGTGTGTAAGTGTGAGAGTGTGTGCGTGTGTGTGAGTGTGGTTTGATAGTGGTATTTATAAAAGAATATATATGTATAAATGGAATTATGATTATATTGTTAATATAATGGTTTCGTTAATCATTTAATTATTATTATATATAATAATAAATAAAATTCTTTTTAAAAATAATCGAATTCTTTCTAAATTCTATTAAAAAAAAAAAAAATAAACTCTATATAATTTATATATTTATAATAATTAATTAAATTAATATAATATATGTGTATATATATGATAAAGAAGAAAAAGAAAAAAAAAAAAGAAAAACCAAGAAATTTATCCTAATTATTTATGAAATTTTAGGAATAGTAGTATTTTATTTTTGTAACAACAGAACGGAAGAAAAGGGAAAAAATATTTAAAATTGATGATAAAAGTCGTTCAATGTTACTCACCTTTTTTCAAAGGAACACAATTGACCTTTTTTGCTGGAAACAAATTCCTCTGAATCTTTTTTTTCGAGATTCAGTTTTTTGAAATTTAAATTTTCAATAAAAAAAACCGTTGAATAAAAATTTCAAAAATTTTTTAAATTGAGAAAAAAAATTTAAAAAATAAAAAAGAAGAAAAAAAAATTTAACCGTAAAAAAAAACTTAACATTATTTATATATATATATAAATTATTATATATATATACAATTAACACTATAATTAATATATTAATTTATAATCCAATTTATTTTGATTAAAGGGAAAATTATATATATATAAGATTAAAATAAGCTATATATATAAATATGTAATCTGTAGTATAAATATTATTTCAATTGGTTAAAAAAACGCAAAAATAAAAACAAAAATAAAATTGAAAATAATAAACACTTTACCAATTTGAGCTTCTAATTGGTTGCTCAGACAATCCCCTAAATTTTAAAATCAAGTTTTTTGTACAGGCGTTGCATGGATGTACAAAGGAATATCTAGAAAAAATATATTTTTTTTAAAACTTTAGATATTTTGACTAGCCTGTTCAATGCTTCGCCTATATAACTGATCTGCGTGATTTTTTTAATCTTATTATATTTTTGTGAATGATAATTTAACAGTGTAAAGTTGATTTCTAAACAATATATTTGTACCTATAATTATTATGTGCAATAATAATATTGCCTATTATTTATTTTAAAAAATTGAGAAGTTAAAAAACATGAAAGTCTTGATAATTAATTTAATAATAGAAAATAACAATAATAAGTAAAATAAACAAATAATAATAATATTTAAATAATAAATAAAAATTAATTATTCATTCAATGCCAAAATTTAACTCGATTTTACTTAATATTAAAAATTAAGAAACCCAATCATTAGTTCACTAATGAAGAAAAAAAGGATAATTAATTGGTTATTAAAAAAACACTTCTTTTTTTAATTTCTTTTTTCTTTAATTTTCTACATTTACAAATAAAGTATCTAGCATCATTACCTATTATCACTATTATTTATTATTATTTATTTTAATTGTTATACAACAATCAATAAATTCAATAATTATATATTGACAACAGTTAATCAGTAACCCTATACTCTATTTTTAGTAGTGATAGTCTAACGTTCAAACAAAATGGAAATAGAATTATAAATCATAATGAATATAATTCGGAGGCTGTGAATATTTTGGCAGAAAACCAGGTTTTAGCAAGTGAATGAGATAACTGGATTAATTCACTACTACTAATTCATTATTTTTATATATGGAAATATAAATTATTTATTCCTTTGGGAAAAATGAAAAGGTTTTTAAAAAAAAAAAAAAAAAGTTTATTTTTTATTTCTAATTATTTATTATTATTTACTTATTATTTATTATTTATTATTTGTCATTTGTCATTAGATAATCTATATTTATTTAGGATTTTTCTAAATAAACCAACATGCATTATCATTACACATACAAAAAGAAAATTGTTTCCTTTTATTCTTTATGCTGATAGAAAAAAATGAATGATGGGATGATGATGGAGACAAAATGTACAGTTTATTGAGTTTTATTGATGATGATAATATTTTAAATAAATGAAAATTTTACAACTAGAGGGAATTTAAAAAAAAAATTTGTACTGGTAATTTGTTTATAAATTTCAGGGAAAAATACAGTAGTAACAACAACAATAATAATAATAATAATAATTATTATTATTATTTATTAAAATGAATTAAGTTTTGCATATATGCGTGTGTGTATTAGCATGTACAAGACAGTAATGTGTATTTAAATGATTTTCTGATGGATAATGTATGTTGTAATGTGAAATATGAATTGTTTATTTTTTTAACTCTAAAAATGAAATTAAAAAACACTACATTACACACAGTCACAAAATAAACAAGATTCTAAAAGGCTTAGTTTAGGATAAAAAATGGCAAATGTATTTTATGCATGGTCGTTTTCCTGTTGGTTCTTTATCATGATGATGATCCCTATTAAAAAAGATATTTCTTCCCGATTTCCAAAATTTTAAATTTTAATTAATCGATTCTCGCCGATTCAATTAGAAAAACCAATAAATTACCATTTTAATCCGATCAAACCTATCATAACCACTTACACCCTCTTCTCTCGATTCATATCAATCAATTAGTCAAATAAATTAATTGCTGCTCGTGTTATCATTTATCTTGCATGAAATGTCAAAATTTATAAATAAATGAATTCGCAATTCGCTATAACAATGATTAGTGTAAATATATAAAACTAATTTTTTTCCTGACGTTTTTCTTGTCAACGTGAATTTTTTTGTGTACGTGATTCATTCACTTGTCATTTACAATACTGTATATAATACCAAATATTGTATCTGCTGTAAACGTTGTTTGATTTTTATTTCGTTAATTAATAAAACATTAACATTTATAGCAGAAGATTAGTTGGATACTGCAAGTATATATATTATATATTGTTATTAATTATAATTGTTGTTATAGTTTTTTGATTGTTATTGTACCATGCGTGATGTTATTATTCAAATATATTGATGCGTATTCATCATATAACACCAAAATAATTAACAAGAGCTATATAATTAGTAATAGTTATAATGATAAATTTAACCAATGTAAATTTTTTTATCAATTTCTTTCGACACAATTGTTATTATGATTATTATTAATTCAACTTTTCATATGCTTTCCTGATTGATTGAACAAAATCTTCTACTGAATGTCCTTCATCACAATCATACCAATACCCATCTCTAATACATCTCAATTTCTGATTAATAAACATTGTGCAACTCTTTGTCACATTGTACATTGTTGTCTTTAAAACGCTTTTCATCAACAATGTTCTTCCTTCTTTTGAATTCACACACTTATCAACCTTCGAGTAATTATCATCAGCAGAATTAGTAATGTTGGCGGTGGTAACAGCTGTAACACCTAATACTTGATTTGTACATTTTTTTGCATGATTATATGTTCCGATAAGAGAAATATCCTGATTTAAACATTCTATGAACTTGAAATAAGTTATTTGATCTGGATACACCTTCCTAAAACATAGTTCTTGAATATTTCCTAAATATTTATGATCGATGAATAAATAATAAATAATGAAATTGATAAATAAAACTGATGAATAATTTGATGAATATAAAAATTTTTTCTTCCTAATAATTCACACACATTCCATATTAATCAATCAATTACTGGTTTTTCCTTTTATATAAAATTATAATCGTGTAGTTTGTATATATATATAGTATATATACATATATAACACCACATATATAATGTTATAAAGATACACATACACCCACACAGATATAATCTAGTCATCTATCTACCTATACATTCCAGTTCTCCATGTTTACAAGTAACTCCGTATTTTTCAGAATCATTTAAATTTGCCACATAATCTGTAGTAATTATAGCAATATCATTCACTTCTTTAACTAGAAAATTATCATTGACATCATCATTATTATATAAAAAATTAATAAATAAATAAATGAATGAATAAATTTAAATCAAAGAAAATATTTTTAAAAGAAAAAAACTTGCCAACTTCAGAGAATATACGTTCACAAACAACCGCATCAGGACACCTACTCATAACAAATAAATCCACTAAAACTTTTTCTCTTTCTATTGAAGGCTTCATTTGTGCTGTTTTAGCAGGTTGAGAATGCGAGTATTGTTTTGGTGGTGATGGTGGTGGTGGCAGTTGTTGTTGTAAATTTTGATGGTAACGATAATAGAAATAATTTAAAACAGGTGAAGTCAATGTTACTACTGATAGGAAGCAATAAATTAACATTGCTACAAGTATGAGGCCCAAAAAATAAAAATGATAAATTCTAATATCCATTTCGTTTTTTATTTTTATTTTTTTTTCTCTAATGAAAAAAGAAAATTGATTTCTATTCTTAACATTTTATTTAATGATCAACATTATTTGTCACCATAATTATTATTACATAATCGTCGCGTCAGCCTTGCAAATAAATCTCGTCAAATTTTATTTTTTAGTAATCCTAAAGAGTGTTTCCAAAAATGTAAATCATACGGTCTTTTATGGATCACGTACGCAAGTGCATGTAAAATTGGTGGTTTTAAGAGGTCCTGCCCGTATCATAGTAATTGTAATTGCAATAAGACTAAAAATATCACGCATGTTTTTTATGTTTATATATATAAATATATTTATTTATTTATTTATTTATTTATTTATAATATGAAAAGAATGTAATAATATAAAAATTACAGTACAACAATATAAACAAGGAAAAATATTAAAATTTATATATAACAATAATAAAATTAATAATTTATACAAAACTATATACAAAGAAATTTACAGATATTACATAATATGTATAATTAGCATGGGTTTAAAAATCTATAAAATAGTAATAATAATAGTAGTAATAATAATAATAATAAATAATCTATTATTGGTTGTTGAATATCTATTCGACTAAAAGCATTAGAGATCCATCATGTCCAGAGGGACACAATTCTAGATAAGATGTAGTCTCATTTTCAGATGATCTACCAGGTGAAACATCACCATATGAAAGTAGAGGACTTGAAGCAATTGAAGAAGTGGAAGTATCATTGTATGACATATTATAATTTAGGAATGGCTGTTGATACTGTGCTGTTATATCTGAGGTATAATAAGGAAATGTATAAGCATCACAATTATTATTGGTTATTGGCGAGTTATTACCCGACCCTGATAAATTATTATTATTATCGCTGCTGAGGAAACAGGTGTCGATGTTGATGTTATCGTTAATATTGGGGCTGATGTTGTTGATGTTGTTGTTGACGTTATTGTTAATATTGAGGTTGATGTTGCTGTTGGCGATTATGTTGCTACTATAGTAGTAGTCTTGGTGGCTGTTAGTGTTAATCTTATTGTTGTAGTTTTTGTTAACTTTATTATTGATTTTAGATTTTTTTTCTTTTCTAGGTTTATTTCTTATTTTTCTAACGCCGCCATATCTTTCTCTGTGCAACATTTTCGCTTTTTCTGCCATGTCGATAAAAACTGCTTTGGTTGCATCTGGTTCTCTTCGCCATCGTTCAGCTATAAAGCCAGAAATGTCAGTCATTGAATATTGATAACCCTTTACTTTGAATTCCTCAACCCAAGCTTTGCGATAAATGAAAAATTTGTTCGGTGATTTTGTAGTATAAGGTTTTGGAGTAGTTGTCTCCTTGTTTTTGCTTTTCTTTGTTTTTTTGATTTTAACAATAGCTTCTTCAACCTCAGGATCAGAAACTAAATCTTCAACCTTAAATTGGAGTGGATAAGTTAATTGAATGTCGTTGGGGATGATTACCGTTTTTTCACGTTTTGCAACAACTTGTATATCGGATTTATTAATAACAAGTATTAAACTACCATCTTCCCCCATTTCAAATGTTTCATAGACGAAACTATTATCCATAATAGGAGAAGTAACAGTATCAGTAGAAGTAGGAGGATCAATGCTCATTTTGTTTTTTTTTTTGTTTTTGTGATTTAAGAAAACAATAATGATATTATTATTAAATTAGGAAAGATAGAATTTTATTTACGAATTTATTTGTGATTTATTTTAATGTTAATAATAAATAATATTATTATTAATATTTGAGTTTTGTTTGATTTGATTTAAAAAAAAATGAAAAGTTAGGATTTTGTTCTATATTTATAAAATACCATAATCAACGGAACGCAGAAAGAAGTCGATTATAGAATATTCTATGAATATATTTAATTCAGATAAAACATAATTAAATTAAAATAAACAAATAAAATTGATCTTTTTTTGGAAAAATAAATAATTCTTCACAGAAAATCAACGATAAATTTTCTCAGCCGGTATTTAAGCTCCGCCTATATATTTATATATTTATACACACTCGTGTGTATTCATATATTATTTTTTAGTTTAAAATGTCAAAAAATAGCTGCTGGAATTTGTTTTCCGTTGAATTTACCATATTGATATCTATTAATTGTACTACGTTGTCATTGAATTTAGTAGTTGGTTTCCTTCTTACCAAAAATCATATCAAAAATAGTTTAGTTTCGAAAGCAAACGAAAATCAAGTTATTCGTTGGCAAAAAGAGAATATTCTATATTACATGTGTGTGTGTGTTTTTTTGTATGTGTGTTGTGTGTGTGTGTATATATGGAAAGAAAACAACGATAATGTGTTGTATGTAAAAGAAAGAATAGTCGGATCATCTCTGAATGTAAAAGATTTGTCATATTTCGGTTTTTCCCGTGTTCTCACTCAACCTGATTATCTGTAACTTTGGTATAATTTTCTTAGTTCCGCTCCTTTCGCCGCCGCAAAAAAAGGATTATTTTGTGTTACAGCTACAAAAAAAAAAAAAATCCCATGATGGTTATGGTCAATAATGACAATAAATAGTAAATAATAAATAATAAACAAACAGTGCGTACGGACTTTAGATCCGTTAATCGAAAACAAAGAAAATTGTAAATTGAATGAATAAATTCCTCTTTTGAATCTCTCGTGATTATAAAGATTAAATCATCATTATTATTTTTTGAGAATACAAAACATTGATCATGAGAATCACAAACAAAAGAAGTTGTTGTTAAAAGAATATTTAATTAGCAACTCATTGATTGATTCAAGGAATTTAAAAGTTTCCCTTCCTTCCCTGAACAAGATTAATTATCAAATTATTAGGTTGTTGAAGGAAGATCTTTCTTTTTTTCTAGAGCGAAGATCATACATATTCTTTCCCATTATTCTTTCTAAGCAGAAATGAACAATCATGTTGGCTTGATCAGGGACAATAATCAAAGAACAGGTGACTATATGATATAAGATAACAATAATCTTTGTGTTTCACAAAATTCCTATTCTCTTTCTTTTTTTTTTCAAGGTGGAGAAGGAATAATTTAATGTTACACGAACAATATACTTTTCATTCAACAATTTCCTTTTACGTTTCCATTACAAAGTTTCTATATGTGGAAATATAAATAATAAATATTCCTTCGATGAATGTGAAACAAAATCTTTTTTACATTGTTCACAACATATGTTGTTGTATTCGTTTAATCTGCAAGTTTTGTATATTTAGAAAAATTAATGAATGTAACGAAATGTTTATTTTTATCATGTGAATAAGGATACTTCTTTTGACCATATCATCGGATGGAATTTTCTGAATAAGTAATAACTAATTGATCATCCTACACGTTAAATAGATGTTCTTTTAGATAATGCAATGAATAGCAATGTGAGCAATAATATTTGTATAACGAGTATTACAAACTTATATTGTTTTGGAAATTCTATAATTAAATATAAAGTGGAAATTTCTATTGGCAAATTCATTTTCACAAATTATTTATCAAGTTGCATCCGTAGTAAAAAATTCCTAATATGTCCATGCATTGACGTGAAATCCCAAGGTGAGATTTAGGTGTCTTTTTTTTTCTGAATTTCCGAAATCGGCATTTTGCCAAGCCAAAATTTTTCAATCAATAACTAATCTATTTTTTTTTTTTTTTTTTTTTATCATCATAATCAACAAAGAAGAAAATCGTAAACGTTTATTGCAAAAAAAAAAAAAAAAAAAAAAAATAAAAATAAAAATAAAATCCTTCGAGGGAGATTGTTTGTTACGTTGGAATCGGAAACTGCTATTCTTGTTACAAAGAGAATACTGGATCGTTGGTAACTATTTTTTTTTTTTACGAAAACTTGCACTTTCTCTTTTCCTCTTTTAAGCAGCTAATAATAATATCAAATCAAATTTTGCGTCCAGGCGTTTGAAAAAAAAGTACATAATGTATCGTCAAGTGAATTATATATAAACTTGAATATATAGAAAATATTTACGTTGCCATATAAATTAGTTAATCTAATTTCCAAGACGATTATTTTCTTCATAGTTGATTCTATGCCAACCAAACCAACAAGCGAAGCACGCAACAATTATATCTAAATCCAAACGCGGAAAACTTTTGGTTAAATTTGAAATTCGACTATTATATATTTCATTAGTGTGTCATCGTCGAATTGGACTGCGGATGCAAGTGAATAATTCGAGGGTGATGGAGTTTGCTTCATAGATTATATTTTCAATTGCTTTAATAAATTTCATAAAAGTTTCTGCTGGCTAAATTAATCTAATTCTTTTTCATTATTTCTAATGTCAACATCGGCTCATCTTCAACATCTTTGGTGGAATTGTCTTGGTCATAAACAACTTGATGTTCGTTAGTATCACTATGATCATTCATTATCATTAATATTATTTCTATTGTTATAAAATAAATACCTTTGGTTTCTTATCAAAAAATATTCATTATTCGTATTCGTTGCTGAAAGAGTAATAATCTATTTCTCGGATAAACATTTTCCAAGCAATTATAATGTGTCGGATTGAGATTATAATGTTGAAACATTTGTTTTGAACTATTTCGTAGATATGGAGATATAAAGTGGATGATTGGTTGACACACACATATTAATAAATCTCTAGGTACGAGTTATGATCTTGTTTTTATCCTGCATTTTGGATTAAAAAGCTAGTAACAGCCAATGTTCAATGAACTTTAAAAATTAGCTTGAACAATTCTAGTTCTCCCTGCTCTTTCAAAATAGATATAATGAACACATTAGATAAAAAAATTTACGCGAATGATAGATAGTTACACATGTATTGTATGTATGCATGCAATGTATGATAAACATAGATTGACATAATTCAACTATGAGATTAAATATTTATCCAAATGATATATGAAGATAGATGAAAATAGATGAGCAAAATGACACTGTAGTTGCTTTTTTTTTGAAGCTCGTTATTGAGACCTAAATCGTGGAAGGCGAAATTTATTTTACGTTTTAAAATGATTGATTTTTACCTATTTCCTATTAAATCGACAACATCTATGGAAAAAAATAAACTTTTCCATGATTTAATATACACCAATTACATTTTAAAATTTATGATTTATGAAGCAATTTCCTTTGACTTTAATTTATTTATTTATTATAATAATTAAATCAAGTATTATTTAAATATTTAATTATTTTATTTTTTTTGCATTTTTCAAACAACATCTTTCTGTCTGTCTTTTTTTGAAAAAAAGAAATCCTTCGACTCTTATCATCTACTCTAATACAAATTATATATAATATGAAGGTTTCAATAGTGTTTATAGTTGGAAGTATAATATTCACATTTGTATCTTGCGGATTTATGTCTTATATATGTGTAACCAATTTTACAAAATTACGTTTAGCATGGTAAGTAATCAATCATTTTGATTTTTCCCATTCATTTAAAAAAAGCGATTATTTTCCTCACTCAAAAAAAAAAAAAATTTTTTTTACAGTTTGATATCAACAATATTTATATTGATAAATGGCATATGTAATTATTTGAGAACATTTGATACTGTAATCGTTGTCAATTATTGGCTGGTATTTGCAATAGTAAGAGAGATTTACACAACGGTATTGGTTGTTTGTATGTTGGAGATGGGACGTATATTTTATAACACAAAGTGGAACACTTTACTATTCAAAATAACAATAATTAATTTAGTAATTTATGATGGTGTAAATATAGCAGATTCAATTTATACATATTCAGATAACATCGAAAACCCTCCTTATTTTCCATTATTCTTGACCCAGGTAAATGATTGGTTGGTCGATTGTGATTAATTGATTGGTTGGTTGATTATTTAATTTTATATTTTTTTATACACATAGATAATATTAGGAGTATCAACTTTGGCCTTATCATTCTTGTATGCATTCCTTCCAGCACTAACACTCCACACATCTAAAGATAATTCATCAACGAAACAACACATAAATGCACAATCAGCATCTGCGGGTACCTGGTTCGTGACAATAGTTGGAATTCTTTTAATATTGTATTTAATATCGTATGTAGTGGTTTTTTTTCTGTCTGGAGACGATTTCAGAGATTTCAATCATTCACCAGTGGAGAATGCATTAGATCTCATTGTACGTAATTTGCTAACATTGGCAATCAGCTTCCCACCACCAAGCAAAGCTATCAATCTAATAAAAAAGAGAATTATAAATAGAAGAATGTCGAGTTTTATTATCACTGATTCCATCACTATAGTTGCTCCTAGAAATGATTATTCCTCAACTGAAAGGACCTTAAGCATCAAGGATAGCAATAATAAGTGTGATGTTACTGTTAATGTTATTATTAATGATAATAATGAAACAAATGAAAAATTTGAATTTTGAATTTTGAATTTTAAAATTTACAAAAATATTAATAAATTTTCTAATAAAAAAAAAAAAAGGAATGAATATATTCTAAAAAATTTTCAAATAAAAATCTAAAAAGAAAGCTCAAAGTTTTATTATATTAAAAAAAAAAAAAAAAAAACAATTATTCTGATCTCGTCAACATTCCGATTTTAGAATGTTTCTTGATAGTATTTCTGGTGAATAATCGACTCATTGACAATGTCAAACTTTTATAGTTATTGCCGAAATCTAATTTGATAATCATGTTTGAGAAATTATTTTCCAGGTATTTCTTAATATCCTCGAAAAAGTGATTTATTATACAGTATCCATTCAGACTGTAATCATTTAATCTATGAGAATAATAATAATTATTACTAAAACTGTTAATAACCCTAGATCCAATAATATTTCCTTTAAGACTATTAAAACTATTGTTATTATCATTATCATTATTATTATCATTATTGATATTATTAACACTACTAGTGCTATTATTATTACTAAGATTGTTATTATTTTCATTAATAAAGTCATTATTGATATTATTATTATTGCTATTATTGTTACTACTACTACTACCACCACTACCACTACCACCACTGCTACCAACACCAGCACCAACACCAGCACCAACACTAATGCCAATACTGCCATTTCCATTAGCGTTGAAACATTTCGTTGACAATAAGTTAGAATTGTAACTATTGCTATTGTTATTATTATTATCAATTAATTTACATTCAACTTTACTACCATCACGATAAAATGTTATCGAGATACGATCAACAAGCTTAGAAATTGCCAGACAAAGTAATTCTTCAATTGCGTAAGCAAAATCATCCAACAATTCTCCTGCTGCTTTCTCTGCTAAATCATGTTTAGAGGTGAATGGAATTTGGAAATAGCTGAACTCCTGTTCTAAATCTGGCAATGAAATATGATTTAGATGTGATGTGAAATAATTTCTTTGTTGTTGATTGAGATTATTAATAATATTGCCATTATTGTTGTTGTTATTGTTATTATCGTTAAGGTTATTAATATTAATATTACTACTAACATTAATACCACTTGTACTAATAATATTATTATTACTGTTATTACTAATATTGTTGTTTGTGTCAATGCTCTGTGGTAATAAAAATGGAGGTGAAATGTTTAATATGTCATCTTTCCAAAGGATCTTTCCAGTACGATAAAATTCTAAAATATAATAGAACGCATAACCATTCCTATCTATAAAGTATTCATTTCCGTTTGTTGGATGTAGCATTTCCCTATTTCTTTGATGAAACATTGTTCCTAGTAATGTTTCGGGATATGCTGTTAAAGTAGAACGACATGTTTCATACTAGAAAGAAGAAAGAAAAAATTTCATTTTTCGTAAATAAATAATGATAACAACAACAACAAACGATGACGACGATAAATATTAGCTAGAAATATTAGCTATATAAATACACATAGTATATACTTTAATGCCTCCAACATTTAATATGATTCTTTCATCTCTCAAAAGATTTGTTGAAGTTTCACCGACCGTGGGTTCTTCAAAATCACTAGTAATTTGAGATATTGACATCTTTTTCTGCAAGAAAAGTGAAAGAGTGAGATTATTAATTGATAAATTACTTTTTTATTGTTATATTTTTTCTCTCTTTTATTGAGCAGTCAGTCGGTAAACCAGTTTACTAATAATGTTTTATTTAGAAGAAAATTAAAAAAAAAAGGGATTTTTTTTTTTTGTAAAAAATAAATTATTTATTATGATGATACGTATTTATTTATTTATTTTATTATTTTATTATTATTTATATTAAAAAAAAATTTTTGAATCAATTTACAAAACAAAAAAGTGGTTAGGTAATAATTCGATTTAAAATAACTCTACTATTCTAAATAGACCGACTTTTTTTTAGAAACTAACTATTATTTTAATTATACCTTGCTTTCAAAGAAAATAAATAAATAATTAAATTGTCTGTAGTACAAGGATAATCTTTTAAACAACAAGGGTCTCAGCATTACTTAAAAAGGAGAAATTTTAAATGATTGGTGTCTTTTATTTTGATTAAAGAGATCTGCGTTTATTTTATTAATCAAATTACTAATTATTCATCATTTATTAGCAATCCATACAATCATTGTTCATAAATAGTATAGAATGGATGAATTGAATTGAAACGCAATGTAATGTAAATTTTCTATCAATTCATTCATTTATTCACACACACATACATACACACTCCCATGAAGAAAAAAAAAAATTAAAGCACTTCTTTTTTTTGTTGATCCAAGATGAAAATTTTATATATGTTATGTATGCACAAATATCACGAATATGCACCTTGCAAATCCATAGTGCTTATACTTTACTTTTTAGAATGTTTTACAAACGGTAAATAAATTGACACTTCTTGGAGGACAAAATTTTGTATATTAATACTAAATGAAATTCATGTCAAATATTAGCTTAAGCACGCACATAAAAAATTTACATTCTTTATGTGAATTGGTAAATTATATAAAGCTGTCGTTGTACAAAAAAATTGTGCGACTATTAAAAAAAGTACTTTCTTCTGGGGTAGTGCATATTAATTAATATTAATATATTAATATTTATCTAATGTGATAGATAGTATTTATTGTGGTTCATCCGATTATAAGAATAAAATTGTCCTTTCAATCTATGATTTTAAATAATAAAATTGATCATTCAATTTATGCCTTAATTACTATTTATAAATTAATTAATTAATTAATTATTAAATATATTTACAATCTCAATTAATATAATATGATATAATATAATAATAATTAATCTATTTTAATTACTAATAAATAAACCCAATTCCCAACAATATTTAACAATTGAAAATTATTAATTAACTAATGATGATGATGCACCGCTAGTTAACTGATGGTGGGGTAGTACTTGGACCTTGTTGTTAAACTGGTGGTGTTTCTGTTACTGTGGCTACTGTGGCTGGTGTTTCTTGGCTTGGATATGCAGGAGCTGCCGGTGTTGTAGTAACTGGTGCTGTAGTAGCAGCCGGTTCAGGTGTTGGTGCAGTTGGTGATTCTGTCAATTAATCAACCAATTGCATTAATTAATTAAATATATATTTTGTGAATTGAAAAAAAAAAAAACAAAAAAACATATATATATAAATACTTGTGAAGGTGAAAGTGGTTTTTGGATCATATTGTACAGGCGTTTCGGTGCCTTCAATGATCGTAAATCTGGTTGTCCAAGTGAGACCATTTGCAGGAGTTTTTGGATCAGAGAACATAAAGAAATAAATTTTTCCTGATGGATATCCATATTGTTTTAATGATGGCACTGTCCATTCAAATTCTTTGGCTGTGGTTGGCAAGGTTGCTACAACGGCCAACGGAATTTGATTAAGATCGGGTCCTGTCATCAATTGAATGAGGATTCCTGACATTTTACTAGTCTTTGGTTCCCCTGCTTCTTCCCACAAAATCTTTACCTTTTAGATTGCGAGAGAGGAAAATAAAATAAGTATGATTTATTTGTAATAGTGCGCGCGCATGTTTCGACGAATTTGGAGATTACTTACTTTTTCGCCTGTATGCCAAACTGTTTCTCCATATGGATCTGTTGGGGATGGTGCAGCTAAGCACAATCCCAAACTAATCAATATAACCAACAAATAATTTAAACCTCTATTATGAAACATTTTGTAATGCAAATTTAAAAATGGTGTTTTTTGATTTGATATTCAAAATTTTTTATTAATTAAAAAAAATTATTAAGATAAATTAAAATAATATTTAAAACCTGAAATTTTTTTTCGCGACATTTTATATTCTTTTTTATTTATTTTGTAATTTATAAAAGCCAATATCCGTAAGCATTGGTTATTTGGTGAATGACCGAAACATTTCCACAACATATGGTATATACGTATCCATATAATAATTCGTTCAAACCATAATTTATTTAATCTAATAAATAATAAATAATGCAATAAATAATAACGCTATAAATAAAATATTTTATGAACGTTACACGTCACCAAAACTAGAAGTCAGAGGAAAAACGAAGAAGTTCCAAAAGAATTCCCTTAACGTTTTTGTTTTTGTTATGTCCAATTATATAAGCATATGTTACTTTGTTTATTAAATTAGCGTTCTCCCTTTTAATCATGCATTATTGTTTTAGTTGAAATATATATAGGATTACCTAACTTAGGCAGTAATGATTAAAGATTTGGTGTTTTTTCATTTATTTATTTATTTGGATATAATTTTACGCCTTGTAAACCCTGATTGGTTGGTTTCACTTTGAATCTGGTTACGTTGGAGCAACAACAATTAATTTTATTTACTTTTTTAAATTATTTGTTTATTTTTTTTGTTCTACTAAATCTACTAAACCATATCAGATATAACTAATAATAATATAAATAATAAAATTTCCAGTTTTATAGTGTACATCATCATTTATAAAATTTGTGTGACTTTCCCCAATCAAACCAGTCAGTTGGTGGAATTTAATTGACGATCCGCGAATAGTGATCAGCGGGGAAAAAAAATGACCAATCGTGCACCTTTGGATGAAAAGTTGTACTATGCTTTTGTTCCATTACATAATTTTTTTTTGTATCCACAAATGAAATAAATCTTAGAAAACATACTGTATTATCGTTTTTTTTTTGCCTTTAATTAAAATACTTATAAACAAAAATAAAAATATCAATGCAAATAAAAAATAGTACCTCTGTGTCTCATTAACACGTCTTCAGACCCAAACCATACCAAACAACATCATTCACGCTTTTTCATTGAAAAATAGATTGTTTTTTCAAAAAAAAAAAAAAAAAAACAATATTAATGTGAACACGTCGATCAAATAACAAACTTCTTTTAATGTCGTCAAAGAATCTGAAAAAAAGAAATCAAAAATTTGAAGGAGGAAATGTGTAAGCATTTATCATAAGAATGGTGGTGGTCGCCACTCGTATGCTAATAACTCTCAGGTTAATGTTTTATATGTTGCAAAAAAAAAAGATGAAAAGAAAAATGATGGTATTTTTTTTATTAGAATTTTTTTATTTTTGAAAGATCTTGAAAAAATTTTTTTCCATTGAACAAATTAATTTATTAACTATGAAATTTAAACCTACCTTCATGTACCTACAAGATCAATTCAATTACAAATACAACTCATAAACATACCTGGATCAAATGAATCTGAATCAAATGGTGTGAACACATGTGAGGCATTGCACTCTTATATTCATTTGGCTGTTGGTAGGGGTTGTATTCGCGGATACCATGAATACCGTTAAGGGGTTACACACTATTACTATTAAAACCAGGGCTGGCAGCGTAAAGGGGTTAAAAACCTAATTTAGTAACAATCATCTTGACTTAACATATGACTAAATAGTTTAGTCAGTTTAGCCAAGTGCTCATTTGAGTTACGCAGCCAGCACCAGAGCTCCGAAACGAGTCGGGTCGGGTCATGATTTAATTGACCCGGGTTTGACCCGGGTCAACATCATGTTATAATTGCCTTTAGAAGCTCAAAATTATTTTTGAAACTAGTATAGATACTAA